GATTGTGGTCAAATAAGTAGGTCATAACTGGGCTCGCGTTGTCACGTGAAACATTGCACTCATCGTTAATCTTCGGAATCGAAGACATTGACATTATTATTAATATTATTATGTTAAAAAAAAACGAACAAATTTGTCACTTGTATGTGTTTAGAATATTTCGCTCGTCTTCCAAAAAAGAATGTCTACAACTCACAATGGCCTTACCTTCGAGTGTTAAATGCAAGCAAGTTTTTAACTCAAATACAATGCGGCAGTTACATCTGGAAGTTCAATGTGATAGGTGAGTTGTATTTTTAGTTCAATGACACAACGTCTAGTCTTTCAAGCCGGATGCTCCAGGGTTTGGAATCCAGGTGAATATTAGGATCTTTATTTAGGAAGCCACTGAGTTCACTGAACTCTAATAGGTACCTGGCATTTGTTTGGGAAAGTAAAAGGAGCTTGGTCGTTGTACTGACCAACAAAACTATTGTTAAGTCACTAACATTTGAATGTGTGTGTGTTGAATGTGTCCAAAATTAAATTAAAAAATGATAGAACAAAATATTCGCAATTTTTTCGTTCACACAAAAATACACACAAAAGTTTTATTTCGTTTGTAGTAACTCAAAAAACAACAACAGCGAAATGTCATCCACTGCGTTTCACACACCTCACCCTTGGGGGCGAAGTATGTCAATATCATGGTCTCAGGTAGGAATCTGACTTTCATAGTTTGTATCCTAGATCAAAACTTCCACAAGATGGAGGTGAACTTGAGAGCTTTGTGTTCCTTAAAAAAAATTAAATCTTGGAATAAAATTCAACTTTTTGAGTCAACTTCACATTTAACGTTAAAGGGACATTGTAGTAAGATTTTGCAGGAACTTATAATATATTTATATATATATATATATCATGGGCGTAGCCAGGGGGAGGTTTGGGGTTCAACCCCCCCCCCCCCGAAATGATCGGAATTTAGTGACTGATTTTTTGCTTTGATTTTGTTTATTTTAGGTGAGATTTTAATACTAAACCATCACTTGCCCCAGAACAACTAAGGGGGCCCCAGAACAACTAAGGGGGTTTTGAGTTTAAAACCCCCTACCAGGGTTTTTGAGTTTAAAACCCCCTACCAGGGGGGTTCGAGTTTAAACCTCCCTAACAGGGGGTTCGAGTTTAAAACCCCCTTCCAGGGGGGTTCGATTTTAAAACCCCGGATAATAAAAACAAAAAAATAATAATCTCAAAATGTTATCAGTGTAGTCATAGGGGGTTTGAGTTTAAACTCCCCTCCAGTGGAGTTTGAAGCTAAAAAATAACATCTTCAATATAAAAAAAAAGCAAATTACTCACTCTAAAATCTATGGGCGTAGCCAAAAGGGTTTTAAGTTTAAACCCCCAGGAAAAACCTCTATCTTCAATATTATTCTAAAGCAAACTACAGTTACTAAATTCTATTACCGTAGCTAAATGGGGTTTTGAATTTAAAAAAAAATAAAAAATTCCAGAGATTTTTTTAGTTTAAAACCCCAAACAGATGATTTTGACGATAAAACTTCGCTTTTCGATATAAAATCTAAACAATCTTATCTAAATCAAACTACAGTCACTTAATTCCAAGAGCGTATTCAAGAGAGGTTACATATTTCTACCAGTGGCGGGCTCCATTAATAAAGTGCAGTGAATAGTCATCTGCCGAAATTGAAAAACACTTAATGTGGCTCAACAAAGATGGCTAAGAAAGATTTTAGGGGTCAGTTATACAGATCGGGTCTAAATCAAGGAAATCCTATGCCGAATTGGGAGTGGACACCTTAGTAAGATTGTGACAGAGCTTCGCATTAGGTTTGGGGGACATGTTCTCCGACAAAATGAATTACGCATAAGAAGAGTTGCGATGAAATCCTAGTACCACTTGGTGCCAAACATTTACGGAGGTCCTCAGAGCAGGTGGGAAGAGGCTTCAGACATTACCAGCGACAGTTTTGTGTGGAAACAGCTAGACGGCTAATGCGCTGAACTTCGCGGGAGGGTCTAAGACAGTAAGAATATCACATTAGGTTTTTGAAATAAAACTTTTAATAGCAAGAAAATGCACTGTAGATACCTCAGAATATGCATTTTGTTGGCTTTCAATACCAGAAATAGTGCTTGGCGGCGGGGCTCCGCCTTGCGCTGGGGGAGCTCCTGATGCTCCCCCAGACCCCCTTTCTGGTAATGGCGGAGAATCTACACTTTTTTCCACTAACTCCAGAAAGAACCTATTCTAGGGCACAATAAACGTCTTCCGAAAGAATGAAGGGTCGGAATTTAATAAAGCTTATGTACACACACACACACATAAATACAATATAAATTCTTTTTTCAAGGGGGGGGGGAAGAAAAAATCCCCCCCGAAAAAAAATCCTGGCTTCGCCCATGATATATATATATATATATATATATATATATATATATTTATTTATTTATTTATTTATTTGTAATGCACAATTTTAAAATTAGATTTCTGCAAGAGATAAAGATTTACCTTTACATATGCCTTTGTAGGTTGAACTGGGGGGGGGGGCACCACAAATAATCTGTTCATCGTCTTTCTCCATTTTTACTCTGTCTATTGCCTTGACTACAACCTCTTTTCAATGGCAAGGCCGTCCATTCTTTAATCATTCTTATCAATTGTTCATCGCTTTCTCTGTCTGCCTCTTCTTCTTTTTCCCGGTACTGTACCCTGGAGTAAGGTCTTCCCGGGCATATTTTGCGTTTTTTTTTCATAGTGGTCCGCAGGTCAATGTAGGGACCATTGCCATTGTTACTCTGACTGGTGATTATTACAAGCTAGGGGAATTAACTTTTTATTTCAATCTCCTACAAACTTTGCAAAAGTTAATAAAGAAACACCAAACCTTCTCTTAGCATTGCTTACCTCCTTCTTTGCTATGTCTATAACATAATCTCGCCCTCTTTTTTCCTCCCACAGTTTCTCATTCCCACGCTTTCTCTCATTCTTTCTCTCTCACACAATAACTCTCTAACACACTGTCAACTTAGAGCATTCTCAGTGCGCTGTGGTCCAATCTCTTTAGTGGACCAGTGGGGGAGGGTGGGGGTGTCCGGGAGAAGGGAACATGAAAAGTATCAAGATGCCTGTGTGTCTTTATGTTGTGTCTGTTGTATTTATGTTTCTGTTGTGTTGTCTTTATATAAGAAAAGAGTCCTTGTAATCACAACAAATTTTCGTAAGGATCAATAAAGCAGTCTTAGTCTTAGTCTTACACAAACTGTTTACTTTAGTAGATGTACATTGCAGCCAAGACCATTACGTTTTAGAAGGCCTCAGCACTGACATGCAACGTCACAACCTGTAAGCAGTTTAGCTATTGGTGTCCACTCCCCACAGGCTGTGACGTTGCAGTAAGTGTTAAGGCATTCTATAACGAATGGCATCGTTCCTGTCGAGGCTAAATGTGTTACTTAGTAAATTACGCAGATTGAGAGTTTTTAAGGTTTATGTGATCTTAGAGAACTTTAAAATTATGGACTGTAAATATCATTCTTACTTTACCTTTTCCACACAGACAGCGTACCACAAAACATTGTTTTAAGAGCCAACGGGATTAGCAAGTATGTCAGAGTACAAAGCGGAAGTGACGTAGCTCTCATCTGTTCAAAATTGACAGGATACGGAATTCGACTTTCTCTAACCAGGGATAATCCAATCAGTGTTTTAGTCTCATATTCATACTCATTTGAGATTGCCTATACTATGTACATTCTTCCAAGTTACCCGCCATATTTTAGTGTTGAGTGTGCCATAGACAATGACAAAATAAGAATACTAGTGGAAGTAGCAGATGAATTATGTAAGTATCATGCTCAGATTTGTAAAAAAAAAAAAAAAAAAAAAAAAATGTACTAAATATGAACTTAATATCAAAAAAAAAAAAAAAGCAATGTGAAAATAAACTAATTTCTCTTGACTAAACATTTTTTGAAGTTTTAGGATTCCCCCAAGAACTCTGAATGTATAAAAATAAGTTTTTGTAAGTTTAACTTCAAGGAAACAATAATATATATAAATGCTTAATTTATAATTATACCATATACGTGTTTATACATTGACATGAAATACATAGTATCATTTTTTAAACCTATAAGTTGTTCTACAATACTAGTGGATATTTTGTTCCTTTCCTATCAAAAGTTTCAATGTTTCTTTATAAATATTTCAGCCGATACTGTATCGACTACTTCCAAGAATGAAGCGATGGAGGTAACTACATTCAGGTGGACTACATTTGCATTTCCTACCATCCCTTCTTACGACGACATATCCACCGTTACAATTGTTGTATCAGTGTCAGTGTTTGGTTTCGCTATTTTGTTGATTGTTGTCGTGATAATCATCACGCGCTATCGTCGTGCGAGAAGGAAAAGGCAGAGTAGAGATACGACTCTCCAGCCAGCTACACCACAGCTGGACAACACCGCAGTTGGGCAACGCCGCAGCTGGGCAGCATTACAGCTTAACACCACCACAGTATCGGAACCACCTGTCTATGAAGAATGTGTCCACATTTTCACCATTGCCAGGGTAGAACTGGACGCTGCTGCAGAACCTCGGCCCCCAGCGTATGATTCTTTACCTCCATCGTATGAAGAAGCAGTAGGTCAATACCAAAATACTTTGTGACGTAAATGTTTCAATTAACTGAAACGTGTTAGGTAAATGCGTAATAATAACTATCTTACTAAGTATTATTGTTTTTCTTAGATACTATTTGAGGTTAAGCGAACTGCTCACTGAGCTATGGAGTAACTAGTCTAACCAAATCTCTAGAGGAACAGACCTAATTCCGACAATCAACTGTGCAGTAATTTCTGGAGTAACCAGTCTAATTACATAAATCGACTTAGCAGTAATGTCTGGAATAATCAGCCAATATGTGACAATAAACTGCGCAGTATCCAGTCTAATTGCGACAATCAGGTGCGCAGTAATCTCTAGTTCAGAGTTCTCAATGTGGGCTGTCTCAATAAGAACCTTACATTGAGCTAAATCATTTCCGACAAGGACATGAACTTACCTTCAGATTTCTGAACTATAATATATCGTAATGGAGGGAGTTAAAAAAAACAACAACTTGACCTTGTGACCTCTCAATGTTGAATTCGAGAGTCGTGCAGAATTATAAATACATGCAATGATTAATCATAAATTTCGTATAGACAGAATAAAAAGTGTCTGTATTTGTGTCTTACATCTACGAAACAAACAATTTATATTTATTTATTTATTTATGAGCATTTTTTTCACATATTTAATATTCAGCTTCTAATGTTGTATCGGATGTCAGTGGACTTAAGCCAGTTTATTTAAAATATATAAAAGGTTTTAAAACAACTAGATCTAAGTTTTATTTGTTGTATTGGTAGCATTCAATCCACTCGAGCACGAGTCATTGAGTTTAAGCTATGCAAATAGTTGTGTACACTCCAGCAGACGTGGTTACCTTTTTGTTAGAAAACGAGAGCCTTAAAACTGTGTGTGAAAAAAATAATTTTTTTAAAGATTTTTTTTAATAATGAAAATGGAATAATACTTTTTGTTATTTCCAAGTTCCTCTAATTAGTTTGCCAACACTTAAAAAAAAAGGTGGGGGGGGGGGGGGGATTTCAAAAATGGTTATAAATATTTTACTACACATTTGACAGTTGATGTATAACTTTGGGACATATGGAAGGGCGTGCTATAAGTTAACTTTTAATATCTTGAAATACAGAAGAGCGTGCTAAAAGTTAACTTCTAATACCTTGAAATACAGAAGAGCGTGCTAAAAGTTAACTTCTAATACCTTGAAATACAAAAGAGCGTGCTAAAAGTTAACTTTTAATATCTTGAAATACAGAAGAGCGTGCTAAAAGTTAACTTCTAATACCTTGAAATACAGAAGAGCGTGCTAAAAGTTAACTTCTAATACCTTGAAATACAGAAGAGCGTGCTAAAAGTTAACTTCTAATACCTTGAAATACAGAAGAGCGTGCTAAAAGTTAACTTCTAATACCTTGAAATACAAAAGAGCGTGCTAAAAGTTAACTTCTAATACCTTGAAATACAGAAGAGCGTGCTAAAAGTTAACTTCTAATACCTTGAAATACAGAAGAGCGTGCTAAAAGTTAACTTCTAATACCTTGAAATACAGAAGAGCGTGCTAAAAGTTAACTTCTAATACCTTGAAATACAGAAGAGCGTGCTAAAAGTTAACTTCTAATACCTTGAAATACAAAAGAGCGTGCTAAAAGTTAACTTCTAATTCCTTGAAATACAGAAGAGCGTGCTAAAAGTTAACTTCTAATACCTTGAAATACAGAAGAGCGTGCTAAAAGTTAACTTCTAATACCTTGAAATACAGAAGAGCGTGCTAAAAGTTAACTTCTAATACCTTGAAATACAAAAGAGCGTGCTAAAAGTTAACTTCTAATACCTTGAAATACAGAAGAGCGTGCTAAAAGATAACTTCTAATACCTTGAAATACAGAAGGGCGTGCTAAAAGTTAACTTCTAATACCTTGAAATACAGAAGAGCGTGCTAAGGGTAAACTTCTAATAGAATTAAAACATTATTAAACTAATATCAGATATTTCATTGCTTTCTCTTTACACTATGTAGCGTACAGATTTTGTTGATATATGGCCGGTATGAACATTTACACTGCTTTTTGTTGTGTACACATTTTGTGCATGTTTTTCCTCGTACAATCATTTTCTGATCAGGTTGAAATTTTTTCATAATTATTTGTTGTACCCAAAAAATGTAAATCAATCAGAAAATTTACAAATTAATTAATTAATTAGTGGTAATTAATTATTTAGTTTGTAATGAAAAAGGCAATAAAGTTTACTCATTGAGAAATGTAACTGGCAATGCAACGCTTCATCTATACAGTTTGCGCCGCCTAAAAAACATTATTATAAAAAAAGCATCAAAAATCACACGCACAACATAACCATATTTAAAAGAACTTTTTGAACAGAATTGTCTAAGAAAAATTTCAAAAATCTTGGAAGACAACAGCCACCCGCACCATCATAATTACGTCAAGTCGTCGCGAAGTGGGCGACTATTGTCAATCAAGACAAGAATGGAGTGGTACATAACTCGTTCGTACCTCACTCGGTCAGACTTATCAACGCCACTCATTGATCGGGAAGCATGAAAAGGGCCAACATGCCTGTATGTAGTCGCTGAATGAACTCTTTATGTTGTGTCTGTTGTATTTATGTGTATGTTTCTGTTGTGTTGTCTGTATATGAGAAAATCAGTGAACATTGATACTGACCGTTGGGAAGACATAATTTTAGGCCGCACTAGTTGGAGAGAGACGGTGACCAAGAAAGGTATAGACAGCGAGAAAACATGGGCCTAAGCTCTTGAAGAAAAGCATGCCACACGGAAAATGGCCGGCTCCTTTACCACCAAAGGGAAAGTCATCTTGATCTGCAATATATGTGGACGGGAGAGTCTCTCCGAAATAGGGCTCCACAGCCATATGAAAAAGTGTTCGAGATGAACCATAGTCGTTCTACGACTGAAGGAGGCCAATATATGAGAAAAGGTTCCCTGTAATCACAACCAATGTCCATAAGGATCAATAAAGCAGTCTTAGTCTTAGTCTTATGTTGTCACAGATTTATAAATAAAATACTGTAGATGTTAACAAAGACAATAATAACAACAGAGACTTTGTGTAGATACAAGTAGACATTGAAGACTATCATGTTATTTTGTCACATCCTTTTAAACACTTTCTCACAAAACATTCACAACAAACAATGACGTAATAGAAACATATTAGCACATTACATATTAGCACATTACATATTAGCACATTACATATTAGCACAGACCGAGTATCAAACCCTGCAATGTGAATAATTTCAGGCGAACTGGAGTGTTTATTAGTCAGGGACAATAACTCTCATGTCGAGTCAACATACACAAGTGATGTGGAAGGTAGACTACGGCCTCTGATGAGTCTTATCCACATTCCGGCTTATAGGTCATTGACCTGCGCACATGGGTCAATTTGTGACTACTGTTCGGTATAAGGTGGTGGAGGTTCATCCAAGTCTGTAAATGTCTCGCTGTAAGCTGGCGGGTGCGAGTTTCTTTCTGTTGGCTCTTGGTTGCCACTTGTCGTCTGCATCGTTCTGCGACAGCCTCCCTTGGCACGACTACATCGTACAGCGTAAAAGATGACAAGAATGATGATGCAGACAGCGACTATTGCCCCAAGTGACAAACCGAGGGCTACGCCAAACGAGACTGTCTTCTCAGTAGCAACAGTGAGACTTGATGAACCTGAATAAAATGATTGAAATGTAAATACTCTATTTAATCATAATTATACACGTAAACAAAGAAAAAGGGTCAGAAATAATTATTTGCTCATGAGTAAACTTTCGAAAGGGGAGATGATTCACAGTACTTAACACAATAAATACAAATATTTCCATTCGCACATATTTATTTCTGTTAGTCTTTGTCTCTTGAAAATTTACAACAAGTTTGATTCAAAACAATTGATGCAATTTCACACAATATAAATCTTTTTTTTAAAAGCATGTTTAGCAGCCCACAGAAGGGGAAAAACCGCTATTAGTTTTGAGTTAGACCGTCCGTCCGTCGGTCGCAGGAACAAGAAAAGATGTAAAAAATTCATACCGTGATATTTTAGAGAAACTTTTTATTTTTAAAATTAAATATGCATAGTTTTTTTACATAAAAATACACTTTTTTAATGCAAAAAGTTCAGGGGAGTAAAATTTATAATAATATAATTTATCACGAGGGCTCACGTTCGACCCAAGTTTGAACAAAAGTATATACAAATATATTTTAAATTTCTTTTGCAAAGACAGCAAGGAAATCTTCTCCCGAACACCCCTTCAACATTGCACGACTGTTTCCCTTGTACAAAAGCTATTGAGCACAGGAAATGTATTTTTTTACTAATAAAACTAGTAGAAGAGGCCACGGTAACAGATTCCCTTGATATCAATTGCCCCATAGAAGCAAGGTTTGAAACGGTATATTTTACTTGTTTACTATTTAGTGAAATAATTCTACTGACAATTTAGAAACTGTAAAGTGTAGCTCTGGTTCTTTGCCGGTAATTTTCGAAGTCCACACCCCAGAGTGAAGGTCAGTGAGCCTGGCACCTGGAGGTCTGGATAAAAATAGTCGCTGAAGTTTTTGTAGTCGAAGGTGAAGCTGTAGTTGATGCAGTCGTAAGAGTAATAGAGAACCTTCTCCACTCCCTGATATTGGATGTAAACATAGTGTAAGAACCACCGGCTTCCGCTGTAGCGACAGAAGACGTTGACATTATTATGCAAACAGTCCGGGTTAAAGATCACGTTATTGTTGAGCTTAAAATCAAGATCTCCTGCTTCGCCTGAAAACAAAATGCAAAGGCGAAGCTTAGTGTTGAAACAATAAATGAGGTATACATATTATAAATATATAAAGGCACCACAAGGCAGTGGCGTAGCTAGGATAAGACAAGGGGTCTTCAATTTGAAAATCCCTCACCCTTGGGCCCTCACTTTCAGACCTTGTGGTCTATAGGGTAGATGATGTAAAGGTCATCTGTTTCTGTGGCCTACGGTTAACAAGGGTATCATGTGGCCAGCACAATGACCAACCGCCTTTCCTTTTTACCCAACTAATGTTAGTTGCCCACTTGAGGGTCCACCGAAAGAGTGTCCAATTATTTTTTTTTCACATTAAACATTAAGCCAATGCCATGTTATCTTGCTATTCATGTTGTTATGTAAATTAGAGACAATGTTGCATGTATTCCACACATTAGACTTGTATATTTATAAAGTGCATTATCTCACAGTATCTAACCGTAGGCCACAGAAACGACCTTTACGTCATCTGCCCTATAGACCACAAGGTCTTAAAGGGGACTTTACTTTCTACTTTTTACATTATCTCATGTCATGTCATGAAAAAGGCCAAGCCTCCCGGTCTCCCAAATCCCTTGCTACGCCACTGCCACTAGGAAAAACATTTTTAATAAGAAAAAAAGTTGAATTAGTTGGGAAGCGTGGTCGAGAGACTAAGTGCGCTTAAACCACCTATGAAGGGGGCTCGAGGTTCGACACCCGACTCGGGCAGAGTTTTGTTTACTGAGCGCCTAAAGGCAGCACGGAAAAAACAACTCCTAGATAGCCCCTCCAGCACAACTGAGGTTGGACCAAAGCGCTCTGAGCATGCTATAAACATAAAAGTAGAGCTATATAAAAGCCATAATTTAATTTAATTTAATAGAGCAAAATAAGGATCTTGCAGGGTACGAACCAGAGTCGGATTGGGTGTCGAAATCGGCCCTGGCAT